CTACTTCTGATGATTGGATAGCTGCGTCGAGTATCGTGCGCCGGAAGGCCTTGTTTTCGCAGTTTCGCTATTCAATGTCACATCAATTGGAAACCTTTCAGGTGGTACGAGTGACTATTCTGTTATCATTATTGCATTCTGAATGAGTCATCTCTTACTAGTTCCCGCGCTCGCCAGTAACACAGTTAAGTATGGAAACATTCACCGTATTCCAACTACTTGGTCTACCACATATCCTCACGGAGGCTGGTATTCCACCCGGCGCTATCCAGTTCATTCCAAAGCCACCTCAAGAAGCTCCGGAAAGACATTGCCGCAAACCCAGACAAGGACAAAGGGTATCTGAGGATCGTCGATGAGACAGGGGGGGAATGTCATCCACGTGTCGGCAGAGATCCGAAATCAGAGAATTCGAGGCGGCTTTGAGTGTCAAGGTGCGCATATTATGTTTATGGCTGGCGTGGAAGATTAACAGACGCGTGCAGGGAAAAAATGTTCTGCATTGTCACGGTTATATGTTTCTTCTTCGCTTTGGTCATCTGGATTCAAAGATCTGCTCCAGTCTGAGGTTGCGAACATCAACATCGGGCCATTATCAGACTTCAGCAACTTGATAGGACCCGTGATGTGCGTTCCATTTCTATGCATCGGGCTGCGCACCGATCACTGAATAATATCAGAGGTCGTCTGGCTTATGACAAAATAATTGGCTTCATCCAGAAAGCCAAGGATGCAGGAGGGCAAGTTCTTTCGTATCGGAGGCACCGGTAAGGCAGATAGTACGACTTACCTGCGACTTTTCTCATGATCCTACAGGTGACGACTTTATGGGCTACATACAGCCTACCATCATTCTAAACTCAAATTCGGGGACAAATTATTGATATCTGTGTTCGTACTAAAGATCTAATGCCAGAGTCGGAAAATGTTCACCATTAGGTGTGATCTAATAATATTCGTGATTTGCGAATGGTGGATATGTTTGGATCAATATGTGGACATGGGCTGACATATTGTTGGGGGGCGTACTCAGTACCATATTTCCGGATACTTAGAGCACTTCAGCGGAGCACTCATGTTAGGGCGGAATACCCCCAGAATGACATTAAAATCAACTGTTTATCCAAATTTAAATTTGCTTGGAGCGCTTTCGGATTTGTACTGCTTCTACTCTAATTCCAGAACCCCTAGCACAATATCCAAGCACCGTGACAATTAGGGTATTGATAACTATCTACCAAAGCTCTCAAGCTTGTCGCTGGCTACAGTCCTCAACTCCTTCAGGACCCTAATGCGATCTTCCTCATTTAAATATTCCCTCTCCAGCACTTCAATAAAACAATCTACATTCCTAACGAGCTCCTCAAGATCAGAATTCGGAGCAAGATGCATATGCTTCTTTGTGCCCTCTGCGAGGTCCGGAAGGTGGTCAAAAGAGTCCAAGATCCTAAGCACGGAGGGATCACAGAGCCATGCACTTCTCATCGCGTCCCACCACTGCTGCTCTGTAACCGATGTAACTAGTGATGTGCGGGCCCGGCTCGGCCTGAAAGCCCCGGCTTAGGCCCGGCTTTGGGGGGCTTGGGCTTTGCAAAAGCTCAGGCCGAGCCGTGAGCCCAAGCCAGGCCAAAGCCGCGGCTCGGCTTGGGCTCAACGACGGCTTTCAAGAACAAAATGATCTGAAATTCAATCTAAGCATATGTGTAACGGTGAGATACTAAAAGAACTTCATGAACCGTGTAGGCATGGATGCTGGTATCGTGTGTCTGCCCGTGAGCATGTCTTTGCGCACATGGAAGTACTTGATGTGCGCGAGGATGAGCATGCTGTTGTGTTCACCTGTGACCGGGTGCGTGATGTCTATCGATTGGTAGAGCTGTTGAGAGGCGATGTTGTCAGCGAGCGAGCGGGCTAGGCGTGAAATGGAATTACCTCGCATTCCATGCTAAAAGCGCTTTCCTTGACGCGCGAGGCTCTTATTTGCACCTGAACACGTCGTCGTTAGCGGATATATCGTATCATAAACGTGCACACGTACCGAGTTTCACAACACATCTGACCGTGGTTCCAGCTGGTGAAATATGAGTGTAGTTTGCATGACAACACGGTATACTCACAAGATACCGAATGCAGCCCAGTTGACGGCTTGTTCGAGGTCTGTATCGTCAAAGATGATGTTTGGGCTCTTTCCACCGAGCTCAAGGGTGACGTTTTTGAGGTTGCTCTTCGCAGCGGCCTCCAATGCACATGGGAAATTCCATGGGATGATTTGACCCTATCAGACGAACATCAGAGGATGATCTGGGAGCTGATATACGTGTACTTACGATGACACCAATTGGTTCGTGACGAGTATAGGTGAGCTTGTCTTTGGTGGTCTGTTGGATTGTCAGCTAATGAACGAAGAAATATCGAGGCCGATAAGGGACAAAAAGCCGCGGCCTGAGCCGCCAGCTCAGGCTTTTCAACACCTCAAGCCGGGCCTTGGGCCGTGGTCAGGCCCTGACTTGGGCCCGGCTCGGCTCGGCCTAATCAGGCTCGGCTTTGGCTGGCCCACGGCCTGAAGCCGGGCCGTGCACATCACTAGATGTAACCGATAATTGTTCAGGTGCAATTCGGAGGAGGATACCAGCTATGTAAAAGCCACGACGCGTGCGAAATTTGCAGGATTCTGCAATCATACTAATGCACCAATCTATATGGCGATCTCCGCATAGTCGGGGGTGCCAACCAGGATCCCTCGCAAGGCCATAGACCAGTCGTAGATAGCATAGGTCGCGGTTTTCATAGAACCAGGCGTCGGGATCATCACCGGTGGGTATCACTGTTGGTCGCAGACACACCACAGTCAGAATAGCGGGGGAGAGCTCGGTCAAAACAATGTCCCGTAACCTCGCATCATCGATCAAGATGATTTGCTCTCGGTTATTGTAAGCAACGCGAAGAGCGGCATGACGTAGATGGTCGGGCATGATACTGCCCATGCAGGCGATAAGGCTCTTGATGAACATATGTTGCTTAGCGGGGCTGCAGTGCACTCCTGTGCTAGCCAGTAGCAAAAGGATGTCATATGCCGCTTCGTAGTCATCGGAATAGATGTAGTTGAGGTAGTCCACCAGCCAGTCAAAGTCTTCTGGCGAGTGGGAATAGTGCATGCTAAAAAAGTAAGAATCCCACACCTTGGCAGGGTCCCAAGATACGTCGGCAATAGCAAACATAAAGTGCAGTACCTTATGCAGATCTGCCAACGAGTCTGAGTGGCCATTTTGTTTAGACGACCTGGCTCGTAAATAAAATCTCTTGCACACATCCAGGTTCTGCATGACGCGATATGAACCTCCAGTAAGCTTGATCATGCGACAGATGACATCCATGGAATTCCATGCTCGGCGTGCAACACCTGTGCTATCTGTGTCGAGATCGTCTCCGTCGCATGCGCGCAGGCATAGAGCCTTTTGGAACTGCACCAAAAGGCACTCCGTGAGTTGAGGTATAGCAGAACTACATAACATCTTTGTTGATCAGGTAGAAAACTGCCAAATGAGTTAATCACACCTTTTATTAATACGAACTATGTCTTTTTTGTCAACCTGAACCCCGACCATGAAGGAAGCAAGAAGAATGCAATTGGCTATGATTCGAGATGGTAGAAAGCGTGGAGTGCATAGCAATTTTGAGATCAATGCTATAGTGAATTTTTCTAACTTTGCATCCACCCGCCCGGTAACAAAGTGGTAAGGAAGAAAATGTGACAGCCACTCCAAGACGGAGTCAGGACTACGCTCCAAATGGAAAAGAGACCAGAAGTAGCTTGTTTCTTGTGCACGAAGGTTATCGATTGCGTAAAATATCGTGAGGTTGATCCCACACATTAGCATGATCCCCGAAAACTCCATGTGGTCAGGATATTCAACGCTGGCAGGATATGCTTGAAGAACGCGGGCATAGTATAGATGAATCAGAGCCATTGCACAAGTGAATGCCTTCTCCTGTAAGGACGGAATGATCTGCTTGGGAACAACGACACAGCTTGTCAAAACATTATACAGCTGGGGCAGCATGTCTGAGACGTCGAAGTCTAGGGGCCAGTCGACGTGCGGAACAAGGCTGGCAGCAGCGAGAAATACTTCAGGATCCGTGGATATCTCGAGCAGCCACTTGATACTAGGTGCTTCGAGATCGCTGGTGGGTATGCCCGGGAGGTCGAGGGTAAGGGTGTATTCATTCTCCGCCAAAATATCCATATCTTGGTCGAGTTGCTGCGCCTCTGAGTCTACAACCTTTGTCGAAGAGCATGGAACCAAAGAAGGCCCTTTGCGAAACGCGGCGGATAACAGTTGATGAGAGCGCCATGCAAATACACCAGTAGCACGCACAGGGCCTGGGAGTGAATGAGCACTGGGTATCCTGTGTAAGAATAGATAACAACGTCACCTGCCAGTGCTTCGGAAAATCGAGCCCAACTTAATCTGAGGGTAGCAAGCAACCGTTGCAGCATGCCTGACACGAAACGGTCAAAATACGAGCATACCTAAGAGAACATAGCTCACCGTGCGCTGACATCACGAGCCGCAGGAAATACCTGGAGGCCGGTTCGAAGATCAAGTGTAGAACTCCTGAAATATTGATTGAGATCGAATGACCATCAAAATTGACAAAATGGCCTTACTGTCGATGTGCAACATATGCAACACCGTCGACATCGGCGTCTGGAATGGACAGGCGGGAGATATCAAACATGCCATCACGGTCAGCGAATGAAACAGAAATCCGAAGACCGTTGTGGAAATGATCACCCAAGCGATGCTGGGCTGCTCGTACCACATGTGGGTGCCGAGCGCGATCCCGAAGAGAAGAAGGGAGATCTGAAGCAAGACGGGAAAGGACTGCATGACAGCATCGAAATACCAAGTGATGAGGCCGTCGAACTTTTCCTGCCTGCGCTTCACTCGTTCCTCTTGCGAACCGCGACCATATCTATTCGACTTGTAGTACCCGAGCCACTGCTTGCCTAGCATGGCCCTGAATGCTGCTAGCAAGCTCATGGACAAGCTTGCATATGCGGCCATTTGGATCCTCAGAGCTGGCGCAGTCGGCGACCATGTAGATGCTGGGTCTGCGGGTGTGGAGCCTGCTGCAGTGAGGTTGCCAAGTCCGATCTGCACGAGTTGCTTCAGAAGGGCATTCGTGGTGTCGCTGGGGTTGGGACTGAGATTGGGCTCCATCGCCACTATAAAGGACGTGCTGACAGCTGAGAAAAGACCGGACTGACCAAAAATCAGTCTCAAACGAGTCAAAGATAGGCACGTGAAACCTACGAAGACCAAGACGATGTCCATGTCGCCAGTGTATCGCTCGAGAAACTCGCCGTCATGCTCCTCAGCGACTCTTTTGTACACCCACCAAAAACGAGACCGATTGTCCTTGCCACTTTTGGACGCAATCGTCGATTCCTGGAGAACATTCAATACTTGCTTCATGACATTTGTTCTGCGTGTAGGTGTCATCAGCTGCGATCACCCGGCTTATTTTTCGCTCACAATTCGCTTAGAGTTGGCTGATCGTTCTGCGCCTCACTGGGACAGTTTAGGAGCTTGGTCGACGTTGACGGAGTTAAGCCACAGTCTGGTGCAAGATTGAAAATGATTGACTGTATGTCAGATTCTGACGGTTGGGGAAGCCTGTCTTGCTGTCAGATGGCAGGCAGACTTCAGGACACCGCAACTTACTCCTCGATGGGTCCTACGGTGTCATTTTCAAGTTGCGGGGGAAGCTGCTCCTCGTTGTGGGTGTGCCGATCCTCAGTGTCGTCGATGCCTGATGCTTGTGACATGAGGATGTTGGATTCAAGCAAAGCTGTGAGTATACAATTGAGAGCCCTGGGAAGTTTGAAAAATAACAAGTCAGGCTTCTTCAGAATGTCTGGGATCTGGCCACTTGTGGCGTTCTTGGAACGTTCACACGGTAGAGTCGATAGAGTCGAATAGACTTAGAGGCTCGAATGAGATAACTGTCCAAACTAAGATGTATTCAGGGGTGAAAGATCAACTGCCCTACAAGTAGATATACTTCGGTTTATATACTGTAGGGTAAGAATGCTATGGAAAACGATGGAACGAAGGTAAATGAGTAACTAAAGAGTGTGATGAGAAGGAATATCGGTTGCCAACATCAATGAGTAGATGTTGGCTTTTGACGAGCGTTACACCACTCCGGGGCCAAAGTTTGGGGCGGACTCCGGGGTGAGAGTTCGGGGGCCCTTCGGCAAGTGCGGCTGACCCAGGCGGAGCTTGAAATGTTCTAAACTCCATTCGGACATACTCACCCTCTCCTCCTAACCTCCTCCTGCCAGCATTCCTTCCACCATGGATGCCTACTCACGCGCCCGCCATCCCGCCATGGATGCCTACTTGCGCGCCCATCGTCCTGCCCGCCACATGCAGATGGCACTCTGTTTTGATGCTCCAATCCAAATGGAGCATGTTGTGGTTGCTCGTGCTTATTGCCCATCTCACCTCACCTTGCCTTCCCGTCTTTCTTGCCCACCCACCTGCCCGCCCACTCTCCCCTCTTGCCCATGTCTTCCTTACAGCAAGCAGATATCGCGTTCCTTGCCAGCTTAGCTGTGCGTCAATCCCCGATTGGTTTTACCTATGATTGTACAGTCTGTGGAGGCGCTCTTCCGCTTACCATCTGTCGGAGTGATAAGAGCGGGAACTCAGGAAAGCCAATGGCTAGGGTACGTATATTGAGCCGTCGGTCATCATGTCAATGCTCCTTGTCAGCATGGATCCTGTGCCTTCTTCCGCTGGTTCCCTCAGCTTCTCTTGCATCCAGATATCATGGCTCTCATCCCTGGAGGTTCTCCTACCCTTGGCGCAGCCTCTGCAGCTCCTTTCCCTTCAACACAGCCTCTAGCCTTGAGTTCTCAGCTGCAACCTAACAGCAAGAAGTCATGCAAGCGAGGTGCCCCATGCATTGGTGCCTTCTGTCGCCAAGCTCATGCGATGCAATGCCCACATGGAAAGTGTCTTACCCATTGCACTACTGAGGATGGGGGATGTCCGGTGCATGTCACTGATAGCGCAGACAACCAGCACCCTCAGGCTGACATACAGCAGGATTGGGATTGGGGATTTGACCAGGATAATCTTGCTGACTTGGAGACCCACTGGCACGATTCGTCACTCGATGCTGGGGCTGAGATGAATGATGGGTTGAGGGTGCTTCAACATGCACTCCAGTCTGCTGGTGCTGGTGGCCAGCCCGTATTCCCATCGTTCCATGACATCTTGATGGCTCCTATGCAACCACCCGCGCCATCACAGCAGCCTCAGGCTAGTCTACCCCCCCTGTCACAACCCCCTTGTCTTCTGACGCTCTCCTGGAATGATGATGCCTCTGCCAAGCACACGTTCCCGATCCACACTCCATCAAAGCCCCCCCGCGTCACTGATCAACTTGACCCATTGTGGGCAGGTGACTTAAATATGCGTGCATGCGAGGAGATTGAGAGCACGAGGGTGGCAGGTCGTCAGAAAGAGATGGAACAGAAAGCCAAACAGTGCTTTGTGCTGTACTGGTTTGATGCAGTAAGTTGGTTCTTAGGTTTGTGTTTGTGGCACTTACTACTCAATGGTTACCTAGGACAATGCGCCTGTGCTGATGCAATGGGTCATGCACTGCCCGTACTTCCCTCAGTACCAGCTCTCAGACAATCTTGCCCTTGTTGCATCCCTTGGCGACAATATCCTCAAGATCGACATTTTCGAGGAACGCTTCATGCGGTGGATTCCTTCTGCGCTCACGTACCCCTTCACCCTTGACTCACAGTGTCATATCTTCGTTTGATGCCACGGTGTCACCGACTGCAGTGATTTCGATGATCTCTTCAAGTCCTCAAAGCTGGTGGCTCGCCCCACACACATGCGCTTCAACATGAAAGGTGAGCGTGATAGTTTGCGCAAGATGAACACAGGCTATGCTGTCATATTTATGCATAACCATGGCTAACTACAGGTATTTTGGTTATGCATAGCTGTTGCTAATCCCCAGACCCATGTATTTTATGCATAATGGTGCCTGCACCTCATTGATCCTTCCCACAATATTTCCACACCTCATAGCTTCGCATTTTTGGCCACCTGCCATGAGAATTACCCCACAACACCCAAAACATTACCCAATATGTTATACCCCACAATTTCAATTATTCCCACACCCTCCCCACTTCACTGCAGCTTCACCACCACACCACAACAGGTCCCCCTTTATATACAAGTAGTTTAGTATATATGTGTACAATATAATATAATAGACTGCTTTTTTTGTTTGTTTGTGTCACTGCTCCTCCTCCAGGAGCAATTCAACATAGGGTAGGATACAGAACACTTTCGCATTTTTGCCCCTTTGGTGGGGAAGTGTTCTATTATATTCAGAACATGTTTAGGAGTATATATGAAGATATTTCCATCTTTATTTGACCCCCTGAAGCGCCCTACATCAATAGATATAGCACATATGCAAGAAAACACAGAATATGTTCTCATTTAATTATTTCTGGGTGGACAGAGAAGCCCAGGACCATAGGACAAGACCTTGTTGTGTGGTGCATCCCCCCTCTCCTGGTGGTTCACCCCCTGTGAAAATTTTTCCTGAAGGACCGGACCTTAATTGAGGTGAGGGCTCTATTTCTATGTACACTTGGAGTAGATACATCATATAGCTGGCCCAGGACACACATAGGATCTTGCTACAGGAACAAAAACATAGAAAATCCCACTTTTGATACTTTTGATGTTTTTGAGTGCCTTACTCTTGCATAAATGACCAGTTCTGCTCATATATAATCAGTAGTACATTCCCACATATGTTCTATGCCAAGGATCAGCCCCACATAGGGCGCAAATGTGATATCTGATGTATAGGGGGTATTTCTACTGATAAGAATCCTACATAGTAATCAAGCCTGTGATAAATAATCAGAGACCTGTAATACCTCTCTTATATGTCCCTGATAATGAATCTGAAGTTTTAGAAAGATCCATGAAGGACTGACTGAATGACAAGTAAAATGACATATGTGTGAAAAGTGACAATTGACATCTTTGTACACAAAATCACATTTATATATGGTACAGGTCAGATATTTCATTGAAAATATGTAGGATACATGGTAGACTACTAAAGAACCTATACTACATACTGCCCTGAGGTTGGAGGGTGGTGGAAGGGATGTGGTGTATATCTGAGTTAACTCAGTATTAAAGTCCTACTACTACCCAACTGACCATTTTCGATGTTTTGGGTCTTTGAACTTTCCCACACTCAATTTCTTATCTATTTCACTTCCTCAGCACTCAATTCTTGATAGATTGTTTTGTAAATGTAAACATATGATACTGAATATATTTGAAATCTACTCCAGGTGTCTGATTATTAAATTTCGATGTTTTGAAAGTATAGGCTCCTTATCAGTAGAAATAGCAAGCATCCACACTAGCCAAATCTTCAGCCTATTTTGAGCTGATCTGTGTCATATAAAGCAAGTATATATGCTATGCTAATGATATATGATCAGGCTGGATTATTTATGCAAGAGTAAGGCACTCAAAAACATCAAAAGTATCAAAAGTGGGATTTTCTATGTTTTTGTTCCTGTAGCAAGATCCTATGTGTGTCCTGGGCCAGCTATATGATGTATCTACTCCAAGTGTACATAGAAATAGAGCCCTCACCTCAATTAAGGTCCGGTCCTTCAGGAAAAATTTTCACAGGGGGTGAACCACCAGGAGAGGGGGGATGCACCACACAACAAGGTCTTGTCCTATGGTCCTGGGCTTCTCTGTCCACCCAGAAATAATTAAATGAGAACATATTCTGTGTTTTCTTGCATATGTGCTATATCTATTGATGTAGGGCGCTTCAGGGGGTCAAATAAAGATGGAAATATCTTCATATATACTCCTAAACATGTTCTGAATATAATAGAACACTTCCCCACCAAAGGGGCAAAAATGCGAAAGTGTTCTGTATCCTACCCTATGTTGAATTGCTCCTGGAGGAGGAGCAGTGACACAAACAAACAAAAAAAGCAGTCTATTATATTATATTGTACACATATATACTAAACTACTTGTATATAAAGGGGGACCTGTTGTGGTGTGGTGGTGAAGCTGCAGTGAAGTGTAGGGTTCGGGATAAAACTCCTTGCTAATTAGCCACTTGCTAATTAGCCTGTTATTAACTAGCTAATAGCCTGCTAATAACTTCTCCCCCAAAATCACATGGCTAATAATGTTAATGACTCTCTAAGTCGACCCACCGGCTAGCTTCTACTGACATATTATTGACTAGTTACCATTTATTGCCATACAATGTTTTAAAAATTTACAGCAATTGATGTGAGGCTATAAGCCCCTGCCTGTGCATTGCACCTTCAACGAGCCTTATGAATACCATCGAGGTACACGACCACACCGAGCATCAGCCACCATCTCATGCCACCAACTTCAACGACACCAATGACAGTGATTTCCACGACACTCGACGACATTGAATTCGATGCAGAACCTGAGATAGACTTGAGTGTTGATGGGTTCCTTGTGGTGTTGGCTGACTCGGCTCCTGACGGCGCAGGGAGGAATAAGGGTAAGGGTAGGGCTGAGGAGATACAGGTGCTTGATAGTGGTGATGACGAGTGGCCAACAGAATGGCCTTAGCTAGCTATGTCTTTTCTGTGCTGGCTAATTAGCCAGAGTTTTTAGCGACTTCTTAGCTGGCTAAAAAGCGGTGTCACGTGACTGGCTAAAAAGCAGCTAAAAAGCAGCTAGTTAATAAGACCCCCAGGCCTACCTGGCTAAAAAGCTTGCTAATATTTGCCCGAATAGTTTTATCCCGAACCCTAGTGAAGTGGGGAGGGTGTGGGAATAATTGAAATTGTGGGGTATAACATATTGGGTAATGTTTTGGGTGTTGTGGGGTAATTCCCACGGCAGGTGGCCAAAAATGCGAAGCTATGAGGTGTGGAAATATTGTGGGAAGGATCAATGAGGTGCAGGCACCATTATGCATAAAATACATGGGTCTGGGGATTAGCAACAGCCATGCATAACCAAAATACCTGTAGTTAGCCATGGTTATGCATCACCCTGCCATGAACAGGTGATGAACAAGCAGCGACAGGCATCCGCTGCTGCTTCCTCGTCGGACGTTGAGATCATTGATGACACGCAGCTCACACCAAAACCCACCTTGGGCAAACGCCGCCATCTCACTACCCCACCACTATTCCCCACTCAACTACTATCCGACTCAGACAATGATTTCGATGCTCGTCTCACTAGCTCAATGTCGCCAATGCCACCGCTCATCATGTCATCATCATCCTCATCCGTCGAGTCAATGCTGCGCATCATTCCTGCGCCAGCTCTCCGCGTCATTCCTGTTCATATTCCGATCTACGACCTGGCCAAGCCACGACAGAGGTGGCCACATGGAATGTACATGGTTGATATGGCCGTTGGCTTTCAGCAGATGGCCATCCAAAAGCTTCACGGCTTCTATGGCCAGGAGCAGCTTTTTCGTCTGATCTTTGGTGACACTCCATTTGTCAAGACCACATACCATGATAATCACAAGGCATGGCGCGAGACAGAACTGACTGTCCTCGAGACACACAAACTCACTGGATGCACTGAAGATGGCCTCTGGGCAAACTACCTTGCAGCACGGCGCGCTGCCTTGGGTCTGGGCAGCAAGAAACGTAGTGGGCAGAAGTAATTTTCATCATGTCTTCATTATGCCAGTCACTCATTACTTATTCTCATTTGCATTTGTCTCGCAATTGTCTCTGTCTCATCTGTTCCTCGATGTGCTTCTTGGTTTGTCTGATTGCCTTTGCTACCTACTACATACTACACTTCTCATGTAACTAGCTATCAATTGATTTGTCTTTATGAAAACATTATGACCGCCCCATCAAAGATGCAGCGCAGCATAAACGTCTTTGGGTCAGTATGTCAAGGGCATTTCTAATCACATTCATAACAGCTTCTCTCAATGCGAGTGCAGGACTACATATCCCTCCTGCTATCCAACTTGAATGCCGATGATGTTCGGATAGTTTAGTGGGCGAAGGATTGGATCAGTGCGCCTTCAAAACCACACCAATCCAATCCTTCACCCACTAAACTATCTGAACATCATCAGCATTCAAGAGCTAGCTACACCTATACTGTAGGGTATTGAAGATGTTTTCTTCGGTTAACAAAGAAAAAATTTTCAATACCCTACAGTATAGGTGTAGCTAGCTACATTTTCTTGAAGAACCCCTGAAGGAGGATCAAGATCTTTGAGCACCTTCAAAACCACACTGATCCAAAAAGGGGTCATAAACAATTTTGGATCAGTGTGGTTTTGACACCTACACTGCAGGGTATTGAAAATGTTTTCTTCGGTTAACAAAGAAAACATTTTCAATACCCTACAGTATAGGTGTAGCTAGCTCTTGAATGCCGATGATGTTCGGATAGTTTAGTGGGCGAAGGATTGGATCAGTGACCGCACTGATCCAATCCTTCGCCCACTAAACTATCCGAACATCATCGGCATTCAAGTTGGATAGCAGGAGGAAAAGGGTTCTTAGCTAGCTACATTTTCTTTGTTAATGCAAAGTAGCTATTATGAATGTGACTCGTATGAAAACCTACCTTGACCGTCGTGTTCTCGAACTCAAAGTTTCCAGCATTGGTACTAACGAAAATATTATATATTGGGAGGTAATTAAACAGGTGGATGGTGAGGAAGTTTGCCTTGTATGCGAAGGGTAGCAACAGTCATACGGTTTCAACGGAGGATCATTTCATCAAGAAAAAAGTCATACTTAACTGGTGTCATCTCTCGACAAATATTATGAAAACGGCCAAACCAAACATTTGTTTGCTCCGCAATTGATGAGTTGAAATAGTACTTCCCATTGTCATCGAGGAGTTCAGGGTATGCCTTCATGTCACAGCGCTCACGGCAGAGCGTATCACTAGCCTTGTGCTTCGTTTTGTGATGGAAGGTGTCTACACACATGCCCATCCCCTCAAAGAATGTGATATTGCGCTTCTCCACTTCACACAATGTGTTACAATTGGAGTCGTAAATCATATGCTGGGGTTTACGAGCGCGTGGGAGGGTAAACATTTTCTTGATCATGATCTTGCGAAACTCTGGTCAGCACGAGTTCTCCGATAGCGAGACTTGAACTTACCAGCACGTTTGAGACAGCCTCGTGGTGGTACATTGTGCCACGGCCACAGATGACTCCACATGGGTGAACAACAAGCTGTTCGTTGTTCGTACGCTGACGACGGAAGGTAGCCTTGAGTTTAAGTGGAGTGTCCTTGGTGCTACACCCATCAGCATCCAAATCGGACGCAACAGGGTGATCCGATACTCCCGTTGAGGTTGTTGTGGCTGCCTGACGAAGACGCACAGCACCAGAGGCCATATCGTGCTCGTACCATTCTTCAACATCTTGAAGAGGGACGTCATCTGTTGAAGTCGCGGGGAGGTGGACAGTGATAGCATCGTTTAACTTGGAGAGCTTCTGACATTGAGTCTTGCTCTTTCCGTGGCATGACGAGTTGATGTTGACAGCTTCCATGCGGAGATGAACTGGGTCGTCGCATGCCTTGCGCTTTCGTCCGGTCTCAATATCAATCACGACTGGCTGATCACAGCCGTTGACAGCACAGACAGCCTCAAGGTGATGGTGCTCGGCACAGAATCGAAGCCAATTGTTGTCAAGAGGGTTTTTGCACCGTGGAATAGCGCAACAAGGGCGTCCGACAGTCACGCCATTGGTAACAATGACCTCAGTGTGGTGCAGGCCACCATCTGGTGACTTGATGATGCGCATGCACCTGAGACAAGTGTGAGGGAGCTCGTCCTGTCCTTGAAGCACGATCCGAGCGTTGCGCACATACATGGCGCCCGTGAATCGATTTTTCTGGTCACCGTCGTGAGGCACAACAAGTGATTCATTGTGTCGTTGATGATCGTCAAGCAGGGCAAGAAGCATGAAGCAATTCCAGACTTGCTCTGTCGTCAGAGCATTGCCGAACTGCCAGTGATCATCACTGTCGCCAAGGTCATGACAAGTCTGGGCGATTGCGTATAGGTTGGTGCAGTTCGTTGCCGATACACTAGCGAATATCATACTAAGTCAATGACGGCACCACGAGAAGTAAATGAAAAGACGTACGTGATCTGCATCAGATCCATCCAGTGCATGGCAAGTTGCAGCTCGACGAACTGATGATCGGTGACCTGTATGTACTGCGGCATGCCTCGGTAGTATGTTCGGACGGCCCCATTGACGCTATAGTTGGCCTGGTAGTTGGTATTGCACTCTTCATCATACTTAGCACCTGAAGCATGCACTTAGGCTTCGCACCCTCGCTGTGAGTGAACAAGACGATACGGCGTGGCTCCTCCTTCTTCAGCAGTGATCTGCACTGCCATGCCGCACACTCGTGGTTGGTGCAAATCTTGATGGGAGGGTATAGCGTGCATTTTGCTGTTCATATCACATCAGCACAATTCATGAAGGAAAAAAAAAAGTACTAAGTCCTAGCTTGTGGCCATAAATCCTGAATGCGGTCTCGTCATCTGCGCTCGCCTCAGTGCTACTCGGGAGCTCCCACACGATGTCCTTCACCAAGGACCATAGGACTTCAACTGCCTCTGGCGGCATGTCCAAAGAGGCTGCAAGGAAGCTGGCGACACTTGCTGGAAGAAAAGGAGGGGCACAGAAGATGGAGACGTGGTGTGGCTGAGGCTACAGGATATCCTCCTTGAGGATCTTGGCGCGGCTAAGGAAGGAGGTGAGGCTGTTGAATGGGAGGTCAGCAAGCAATGGATGACGGAGTACCGAGTCAAAAAGTGAGCCGATGTTGGGTGGGCTTGCACCTGTTGGCAAGGACGCCGACATTGCAACAAGGCAGGGGGGCAACGAGGCAGGTGGTGGGCGCGGCAACAAGGCAGGGGTGAGGAGGCAAGCTTAGGGGGGCGGCGCATTGACATAATTGCTTACGTGCAATGTCAGCCTCGTGAATTAAAACTCCGACTGAAAAGGTCACATGCCCCGAACTCTGGCCCCAGAGTCCGCCCCGAACTATTTGCCCCAGAGTGGCCATTTCCTGGATACCCTTGGCTTCTTGTAGTTATAACAGCACTCCAAAGCCTGAAGTCTTCTTTTTCCATGTCTTTTTTTATTTTATTTAAAAATTCCATTTCTGTCCTTTGCAGAGGGGAGCTCTATGTAGGACAATTCTGTCTAGTCTAATCTATTGGGACCCCTGTGTCCCTTGTGAAGTACCGGGTACGTGAATGCCCTGGTGTGAGGTGTACCTCCACCAGTCTGCCGTTCCCACCGGCCGTTTTAGATGTGCCACCCGTTTATAGATAAGACCTTTGTGTCAGTGCATGAGGATGGGATGCTAACAATTAACATTTATATATGCGTACTCGGTCGCCTATGGCGAGCAGGTACAGGAATCATTGGGTTTGTGCAAGTAAAATGTGGGTGGTCCTTTGTGTGCGCAGTGAGGGCCTTCTGACATTCATTCTTGCGTTCCTCTTGATAGGGATTCCATGTAGCGAGTGATTAGTTGTACATTATAATACAGTTTGATGATGGGGATTGATGGTACAGTGTGAGCGTTTGAGAGTGGAATGGCGTGTGGTATCCAGCGTGTTCACCTGTTCTAGGGTGCCTTCTACAGAGGGGGGGGGATGGAGTGTGCTACATTAGTCTGGAGGTTCATGAGGTAGCGGGAGTTCACCGTAGGTTTTCCTTAGTCATCCTGTCGTGTTTAGGTAGCGGGTGAGATGGGGGGTTGCCCCTGCGTCTGACAGAAGGTATGGGAGCAATGATGCCTTTCTACCCAAGGCTGTAGTGAGGACGTGATGTTCTCTGCGATACTGTGGGCAGTCCAGTATGTAATGGGCGACTGTCTCATTCACTCCTGGACAGTGTGGGCAGGACGGTGTAGCACTCAGGCTTGCGCTGAGCACGTATTCAGCTAATTCCCAATGCATGTCAAACACTCGAATCACTTCCCAATGTTATCCGACACTTATCCGCTCAATCCAATGTTTATCCGCTAATCCGACGGACCCGACGTTTCCCGCACATCGGACCCGATATTTTCCTGCACACTTGTCCTCCCTATGTCCTGTCCTGTCATATCTATCCCCACTAGGTGCGCAGCTATCAGTTTTCACATCGCTAACACTGTAGACCGTGTTATTACATGTCCACAGTACCACATGTCTTATTACATAGGACATCGGACCCGAAAATTACCGCTACTACTTTCGCCTATAGTGCTCCGAAATTCTACATAGACACTATATATTTTGCATACCTCCTACTTACCTTTACCTTTCTACCTCCAAGTAGGAGGAGGTCATTAGATATTCGTAGTTCTTCGCTGAATTCCGCAAATATCATCCTTTCATTATCCGATACACTCTGAAAACACTGATAGTAACCCGCCATTTACTATCCTCGACATTCATTACATTCCCGACGCTAATCTGAGGTAACCCGACGACACCCGCTAACCCGAAACCTGAAAACATCGGACCCGACGTTTTTACCTTCGGACTTTGTTTCCCACGCTTTGGACTATCTTCCTTTTTATATAACTAATCATTCTAATACCTTACAGCGAACCCCTCGGGTCGAACGCACTTGTCTTCAAGTATAGCAGACTAGGACGTGCAGACCACAACATTATTATATTGCTGATTACTTACTTCGAGTAGTATTCAGCCATTGTTGTCTCGTTACAATGGAGTCGGGTGCTTGCCGATTCGATGAAGGTGCTGGTTGAGGGGAATGTGCTGTGATCGAAGTGCGAGGTAGACACCCGTTAGCCGTTTGGGAAATGCTGTCGTTAGCTTGATGAATGCACAATTTAGGACTTCTGGGTCTATTCTATGAATTCAGTTGTGACGGGGCGACTTGCGCCAGATTCTTCTCCAGCGTGCGTGTGTTGACTGACGGTGTGCTGCTATGAGGGTGGATATGCTAAGAGGAAGTGAGTTGTAACGTAGATATTCTGGCAGGTGTTCACGGGGGCTGTTGAACTGATGCCCTTCCACTGCAGTCTTCGTGCTTTGGCGACATCTACTAGATCGGAGCTGTATATGATGTACAGTATCATGGAGAGGGGGTCTCCCTGGCCAATTCCATTATTGATCGGGATCCAGTCGGAAGTATAGTCATCGAAACGCAGTTGAGTCTGCCTACCTGTCAGTACTCATTCAGTGAAGTCAATAATGTCACCAGGGATGCGCATATTATGGAGGAGTTGCTTGGTGACTGCATTGGGAAATGCGCCCTCTATATCTAGGAAGAGTGCGGATGCGACTTTGTGTGATCGCCACACTTGCTTGACAGTATCTTCGAGTAGGTGTAGAGAGTCCGTTGTTGAGCATCCTGGCCGGCCTCCGAAATGGGTGTTAGGCAACAATTGATGGTGTTCTAGCGTGTAGGTGAGTCGTTCAGCCACTACCACGGTTGATAGCTTGCCCATGGTGTTGAGGAGCGCTATCGGTCGATACGCTTTCGGGATTGAATAATCCGGGTTTCCCGGCTTCCTGAGGACCACCGTCGTGAAACTTTTCCAAGGCGCAAAATATGTACGATGGGTGATTACAGCGTTGAAGAGATATCTGAAATAAGGAACTAGAAGGTTAGCACATTGTTTGTACACTATATTACATATTCCATCCGGTCCGGGCGCCTTGAATCCACTGAGTTTGACTATGGCATGGGTGATTTCGGCTTGGGTGAATGGTGAGTGGCGTTCAACGGGTTCAGGGTAGATGGTGTCTATGGGAACAGAACTGTGAGTGGGAGGTGGTGGAAAGAAGGACTCAGCTATAAGGTGACTCTTCTCCTGGTTGGTGTTGGCTTCTATTGAAGTGCCGTCCGGACATTTGACCTTGAGCGTTGGTATTCTCGTTTTTCCCCCATCCTTGGGCTCCGAGGTGATGTACCTGTTGGCGGTCCAGATGTCATTTCCCTCTATATCTTCTAACCATTCGGTCCAGTGCTGTTGCTTCATATCTTCAATCTCTTTCGTGTAACGATTCTTGAGCGCTTTGAGTTCAGCATGACAGTTGTGAGTAGGTAGGCCTCTCATAGTGTATGCAGTCCTGCTAAGTTCAGTTACTTGTCTGCGGAGATTGGTGAGCTCCTGAGTCCACCAGCGTTTTGAGTGCAGACAAGGTTTAGACGTTGGAACTTTGACGTCGATGGTGTCAGTTATTGCTTGGGTGAGTCGTTCTGCAGCCTGTTAGAATTCAGCATCAGTTGCAATCGGAATAGGAGGAAATGAGGCTAGGAGCTGTCTAAGATGCTCGTTAAATTTTTCCCAATCAACGTCACGCCAGTTCTTGCGCGGGACTTCTGCTACTTTCGGAGTTACAAGTTCCAGTACAAGTTTGATGGGGACGTGGTCCATCTTTGGGCCACGTAGACTCGGGTCTGTGTTGCATGATACCACCGTGTCAAGTAGAAGTTCCGTGCCTAGTACGTTATCCGGGCGAGTCCAGTTCCCTGTTGCTAATGATTGCAAGGTGGGAATGCCACATGGGAGGAGTTGAATCATTCCATAGTTCGCAATAAGATCTATCAATGGGTTAGCAGCCATATAGTTGAATAAATGTCGGTTACGAGGGTCCTCCCAAAGCGGATGATGTCTGTTAAAGTCCCCCATCCATAGCATGTTGTCGTTTTCGGAAGGGCGGATGGTTGCTATGTTTCGATCTAAGAAAGAGTCAAGGGCTGTTGGTGTTTCCTGCGAGTTACAATCATTATATATGTTAAAAATAGAACAGCAACCGTAAGTGCCAGAAAGTTGAATAATTACAATGTTGGATGACAGGAAAAAGATCTGTTTCCAGGAATTAGTGTTGATTGATGTATTGATGAGGGTGATAGCGCGAGAGTGTCGCTGTGGGTGAGTATAGTGCTGTGAAGGATATATCACATGCCAACAGTGATTGGCGCAAGTATTACGAAGGAAATTGATATAGGGTTCTTGGATAACCATAATGTCCCATTTCGTGGCGAAGGAACTGTTGAGTAACAAAGCTTGGGCCGTCATGGATGTGTTGAGATTTTGCTGCCAAATACGAAGTCTAACGTTGGTGTCGTTCGGGTGTTCAGACATTGAGGGGGGATGAAGGAGGGGTGCTGTCGAGTGGGGTGCTGTCTCTGAATGAGTCCTCAGATCCTGTGATGTAGGGATGACTGAGGGAGGCCTGTGAGTGTGAGGACGGCGCGCTGTCCTGATTCTGTTGGCTAGAGAAGGTTAGTGTCGTTTGGCGGATCTGTTTCAGACCTCCATTGTGTTGTTGCTGAGAGGGGGGGGGGGGAGGTGACGGGGGAGCAGACATTCTGGGAGGATTGGAGTGCTGGACGACCTGAGTCCATGCATGATCTGTGGGGAGGAACGGCATCCGATTCTCTGGGTACTTCTTGTCTATTTCTTTGCATTTCTTGATGAATTCCGGGCATTGACGGCTGCGACTGGCATGCTGTTGACTGCGGCAGTTGACGCATCTTGTCATCCGGTATGAATTGCAGTCGGAGGTACGGTGGTTGTTGCCACAAATGCTGCAAGTGTCGTTAGTCGCATTACAGTTTTTGGCAATGTGATTGTATTTTTGGCATTTCGCGCACCGTATGGGCTCCTTCTTATCTTTGCGGACGGTGATGCATTCATTGGCAATACAGATGCCTTCACGGAGGATGCTGTTTGCTGTTTGGACGTCGACGATTTGGAGAAGTGCAAATGCCTTCCATTGTTCCGCGGTTCGCCACATGAGTGGTTTGATCCAGCGTATAGAAGTGATCGAAGATGGCGGGAGATGGTTTTCTTGTTTGATCGATCGTATAAAGTCCTCGTGGTCAATCTGGAGATAAATAGGTAAGAACTCAAGCACTAGCGGGTAGTAGCATTGTCGGAACGATACTGGTTTGTCTAAGTTGCTCTCCAGGGCTGCTTTGCCTTCAGGACTCTTAATCCAATTTGCAAGTGCTTCCGTCTCCATTTCTACCACTATTCCTCTGTTTCGTAGGGTTGTGACCGCCCTGATGCTGCCTGGAGGTGTCATGTTGTCTCTTGCTTTGATTAACACTTCTTTGAGCTTTCCCGCTATAGTGTAGTTGGAGGAGTTCGGGGGAAAGAGGGTTTCGCCCAGTGTCGGGTCCAGCAGTACTTGGCGTGCTTTAATGGCTGCACGTCCTAATGCTTGATCTACTGTGGGAGGGAGATGATTAGCAGTGGCAGCACTATAAGAGGGTTGGAATGGAGTGGCTTGTTGCATGGGCGGGTTAGAGATCTTGGTATACAGGGAGTTGATTTTGTCGTGTGCTGCATCTAGAGAAGGGGTTAGAGTTTTCAGGTCGCTTTGGCATAATTTGAGTGAGGAGTATAGGGAGTCTGCTGCTTCTTCTATGCGGTCCGCTGCTGTCTTGATACTGTCTTCCTTTTCCATATGTTCGTGGCCTATCAAGTTGTGTAGCGTTTTGGTTTCCTCCAATGAGTCTTTGACGGCTTGAGACGCAGAGTGTACTAAGGCTACTTGAGGCGAGATTGCTGCCACTACATGTTCTACTAGGCGTGTGGAGAGCGATTCAGAGATCTGTTTCATGGCCGCTTCGGCAATTTCACAGGCTATGTGCTCTTTCAGTATGAAGGCAACTGCGCGTGTGGCGGATATCACAGGGGCGGGCGTTGAGCTTGACATTTGCGTAATCTGGAATAAGACGGATATAAGATGAGTTAACGTAAATGGTTGGTCGACGTGGCATAATAGTTTGGACTTGAGGAATTTTTTCCCGCTTTTGATGTCCTTGACTGTGTTCAGAGTGGCTTCTATGGTTCCTTGCATGATTGGTGTTCTGGTAGTTCTGCGAGTATTGAGACTGTATGTAGGAGAGTTTGTCCAGGGTGTGGGCGCGCTTCCCGCGCCAATGCTAGCACTTCTGTGATTCCCCAGCATATGAGCACAGTGATCGAAGATAGGCTGGGTGTTGCTAGGTGACAATGGTGTATTGATGGGGACCTAAGAGGTGTGCTTAAACACCTTTTGGCATTTTCGGCGCTGTTGAGCGCGTTGTTGAGTGCTGATTTCTGGGGTCCTACTCGGGGTGCCACTTGGTACGGGTCCAAGAAGCGATTTTTTTCCATGTCTTGTCTTAATCAGGGTGGTGTTGTATCTTCACCAGGTACAAATCATGAATCCTCAACCAAGATGTCACCTCCAGCTGTGCAAACTGATGCCTGTCACCACTGCACGAACATTATGTTGTGAATTGAAGGTTCTGCACTCACCATTTTTGGTGTTCCTATGATACAACTTGAAAAGTTCGATAATAGAGGCAAAGAGCAAGAAGGTGCGCATGCGTGTTGAAGTTCTTCAATCTCTTGCAATTCAGCATGCGCAGCTGCTTCATGACCAATATCTAGAGCGCATGGATTGAGTTCATGATATTTTTTCATGCGAAAATACTCACTTCAGGTCATCCAAAATGCAGGAACGGATATCATCTCTCGATCTCAGGTCGGTAATCCAAGCACATGATTGTGATATATGGGTACCGGCGACTACGCGCCCAAAACTCCGACTCCTTTTTAGGGACAAGAAAATCAGGCGTCTATCACACATGTACATGAGCTGAAGCTGATGTGGATCTAGTAACATACCGCACAAAGGGTCACATACTTCAGTCAATTTCCCATGTAGAACCAGTGCCCCGGATGTGCCAAAACCCTGTAGAATCATGGCCAGCCAGTCCCTGACCGGTCTATGTAGAATACATGCTGGCCGGCCTTGTATAGTAGTAGTCCACATGTATAATACACTACCATACTATTGTAAAAGCATGACCAGCCAGTAGATGTAAGACAACTGCCGGCCGTAGGTGTACCAATATCAAGGCTTGCTGGTGTATTAGGATGCTGACTGTTTCACATCTATATTTGTAACTGGCCAGCCTTTCTTCTACATAGGCAGATGTGGGGTGGCCCAATATGTGGGATTAAGATTATACTGGCCAACCATATCTCTACCTCAGTAGAAACCAGGCTGGCCAGTATGTAGGTCTTAATCTAGCAAATTGGCCGCCCTGCATCTACCTATGTATGGGTAAGGCTAGCCAGTTTGTATGTTTTGAACTAGCATACCAGCCATCATGCATCCACCTAGGTAGCCATCAGGCTGGCCAGTTTGTAAGCTTGAACTAGCATACCAGCTGCCCTACATATACTTGGGTAGCCATGAAGCTGGCCAGTTTGTAGGTATGAAACCAGCATACCGGCCGTCCTGCATTTACTTATGTAGGGGCCAGGCTGGCCTATTTGCAGGTATTAAACTAGCATACCGGCTGTCTTGCATTTACTTATGTAGGGGCCAGGCTGGCCTGTTTGCAGGTATTAAACTAGCATACCGGCCGTCCTGCATTTACTTATGTAGGAGCCAGGCTGGCCTGTTTGCAGGTATTAAACTAGCATACCGGCCGTCCTGCATTTACTTATGCAGGAGCCAGGCTGGCTGGTTTGTAAGTCTCAAACTAGCATACTGGCCTTCCTCCATTTACTTATGTAGGAGCCAGGCTGGCCTGTTTGCAGGTATTAAACTGGCATACAGGCCGTCCTGCATTCACCTATGTAGGAGTCAGGCTGGCCAATATATATGTACATAGAGCGAGGAAAGCCAGTTTATACTCAAGTCATAACTTATCACCAGGCAGCCCGTGAGTCTAGACAAGCATATGTAATTACTGTACAAGATTGACTAGCAATGAAGACAATAGAGGATACAAGATCATATCTTCTGGGATCTCTTAGAGGGTTGCCTCGCTCTACCTGATCTACCAACCACAGGCTCAGTCCTAGGCTTCTTGGACTTACTTGATGAAGCATGGTTAATTTTTCTCTTTCTCCCTTTCTGCACCACCTCTTCAACCTCCTGCTCCTGCTGTTCTTCTCCCCCAACTACATTCTCCTCTGACTCAACATCCTTCTCCTCAACCTCATGCCTTTCCTTCTCTACCACCATCCTCATCTCCTCATCCTCAACCTCGTCACTGAGTCTCTCTTTGTTCAGCCTCTCAATCTGACCAACGACTGAGAATAAGACTTCCCAGACAGCCTCATCCAGAGCGACCAAGAACTGTAGATTAATAGCAGAATGAGGTAGGTAGAAAGAGGTATTGGGATCAGCCTCGTCTTCCTCATACTCTATCACACACTTAGACTCCCTATAGAGGAGCCCAATTCCTAGTACTACTGGCATTGCCGATGATAGCCCTGAGATTGGACAGGTCTGTAGCTCGTTTAAGCTGGCCATCAATGTCGCATATGAGGTGTGAATGTCCTCGGGAAGATAATTTTCATTCCAAGACCAGTCAGCCCAGGTAGGCAAATCTTGGTGTCGCTCTGAAATTGGCTGTTGGACATATAAGCCATAAAATTGAAAACAGCACCAAGTGACACTAACATTCTGTTTGGCTAATATTGCCAGGTCCCTAGTGGCGTCCACAAGCTCCAAGTAGTTTTCATTCTTACTGAGGGTTTCTAAAAATGTGTATCGGTCATTGATGGCAACATCATCTGGTGTTGTCTCATGAGTGGCCGGCTGTATTGTACGTTCTGTGAAATGAGAGGCAAATGGAGCTGGCTGGCCTTGATCTTCTTCATCTAAGTCTAGGGTGCTCACTACTTTCGTCTTGGACTTCCCAGTGACCCGAATATCAGCATCCTTGGCCTTGATAAAGACGACTAGCTTCTGATTTGTAGCAGAACATCGTTCCCAATGCATCCATAGACGATTTACCTCCTCTGTCTTCATATGAGAAGGGTCTTTGACCACAAATCCTGTGGGAACTGAACCAGGTTCCAAATAATTGGACGGGCTGGCAGTTATCACGCCCCAAGGTACAGGTCTAGAGCCACCTGTGCAGACTTCTACAAACCATTGAGTCAATCAAATGTCATGCACATATTGAAGATGTTAGATCTTACTGTATGAAGTATGAAAGATACTTCTAATCAATTCGTGTTGGCCCTTGAGGCCAATACCATCACGAAGAGGAAGTTTTGCATACCCCTCATCATCTACTATGATTTCAGGTAAGACAGGTCCATCCTCACAGTCTGAAGCCGCTGTAGAAACAACAATACTGAGAGGAACTAATGAAGCTCCAGACTGTATCTATATTTGTGTTGTGGTCTTTGCACTGCCTAGTCTGCTATACTTGCCTGACAAGTGCGTTCGACCCAGGGGTCTGCAGTCTGGGAATAGTCTTGGGGGTAAGTGAGTGATGTGGGGTCAATAGTCCGAGCACGGGAAACAATGTCCAAAGGTATAATTACGATGTCCGATGCAAAAGCGTTGGGTCCGATGTTTTCGGGGTTTCGGGTTATCGGGTTCGGTGTAGAGACTCATGCCTCTCATGGTGTGATATGGCAGTATTCACTAGGGAGCGCAACGCGCGCCATGCGCGCACCATTCCCGCGCTTTACGATGTATACGTGCGCGCGCTTTCCCGCGCTTGGTCGCCCTATAGCGCCAGCTTTCCGGAAGCATCCATCCACTGTCCACCAAGCTCTCTAGTGCGTGTATTTCCATCTCCCTTATTTACATATCATTCCACCTTTATTTATATCATGGACCCTTACTTACATACATATATCTTTACATACCTTACTCGGTAGCGCTTCGGCTCCGCGTGACAGCGCTTAGGCGCCGTATATAAGCGCCAGCATTACATACTATTAGGGAACTTTTCCAACTTAGACTCTACCTCCCACTTACCCACTTACCACCTAGAGAATATAGTTGCAATCTATTCTTTGACACCTCGCGCTCGTATCTCTTGTTATTCATCTAATCACCACTTAAGCAAACTCACACTTACTCTCACTTGTCTCCGCTCACGCGCGCTTCCCGCGCCTCGCGCGTACCTTCGCTTTCCCGCGCCTCGCGCGCACCTGCGCGCTTTCTCGCACTTCGCATTGGCTGACCAGTAGCGCCTTCAGCGCCTACTCCTAGAACCTTGCTGCACTCGCTTCCCCTTTAGGGTCGAACGTACTTGTCTTCTCAAGAATAGCAGACTAGGCAACGCGCGACCTCACAACATTATAGATACAGTTTGGAGCATTCATTTGTTCCTCTCAGTATTGTTGTTTCTACATCGGGTTCGGGGTGTCGGAAACTAATAGTAACGCTATAGCAAGCATCGGAAGAGCGAGCGGTGTGCGCAATAATAACAATGACTGATACGGATAATGAAAAGAGCGATGATATTCGCAATATCAACTAAGAACTACGAATATCGGGTTTGACCACTAAGCGTCGGGGAACTGCTCCCCTCTACTTGGATGATGGTAATGCTATGGGGAGTCCAGTATTTATGTAGATACGTAGAAGTCCGGAACCCTATAGGCGAAAGTAGTAGCGCAATATTTTCGGATCCGATGTCCTATGTAATAAGACATGAGGTGCTGCAGACATGTAATAATGTGGTCTACAATGTTAGCGATGGGAAAACAAGTAACTACGCACCTAGTGGGGGCTAGCGCAATGAGGCAGGACATAGGTAGGACGAGTACAAGTGAAGTCCGATAGTCTGATGCGATGTCCGATGTCCGATGTTTTCGGGTTTGGTGCGTATTGAGTCGGATATGATAGGGAATGATTCAGATAATGATTAGCATTCAACATGCATCGGAAATTAGACCTCTACGAGGCCATAGAGATGTCAGTCTCTACACCACATGGTCTGAATCCTCTGAAGGGTCTATCAATTTAATAGTCAGTGAGCATGATATTTAAAATCAAATGAAACACATACAAAATTCAGTCTTAGACCATTCTCCGAAGGATTCAAATCCATTTGCAGCCCACTCCTTGATACCACTCGAGCTCACAGAAAAAATTTTCTTGGCATTCTGAGGCGTAGTTTCGTGTCTATAGTAGTTTAGTTAGTCTTGAGATTTCCATGTTGATTTGATGACTTACAGACTGATGGACAATGTCTGACTAGCTTTTTTCTTATGACTAACAAGCATTACTATGCAACAACCCATGGTTGTTAAGAATGTGCTCAAGGGTCGGATCCGAAGGGCTTGGCTTCAGCTCGTGCGCTGTGCCCCTTACCCGAGTACGTGCCCCTAACTTCTGAAGGCTGTCGAACAATGTCCGAAGGTTACCGGACGATGTCCGGAGGGCGTTGGGCGATGTCCGATGCACGGGAATTCCGGCGGACGTTTGGGAACAAGAGATAAGACTAATCCGGACGAAGTCCGAACTAGAAAGGAAACAGCGGAGGACTACCAAAGGTAGAGGCGGAGGTGACAAGTCTATAGGAATCAATCCTAAGACGAGCGGAGGTCGACGAGAGGATAACTCAAGTCGGACGGAGGAGGTAATGAGCAGAGTCTAAGATGATATTTGAACTGAGGAAACTACAGAGACTGTACAGGGTTTATATACTACTGAGGACATAACGGAGAACAGTGAGTGCAGTGCGAGGCTATGTAAAGCTATGGAGAAAACATATGGGACGACTATCACTAGTTTATCGGAACTTAGTAAAATGAAGACGGAAATGAATAAGGGACGGAAAATAAAGTGTACTAACTGATAAGGGAAATACCAAAGGGATAAGGCACGGAAGTTAGACGCGGGTCGGATCCGGACAATACATAGAAGTCGGCCGGATCCGGAAATCCGGAAATGATGAGTGTGATAGGTCCGGACCCAGAACACGGGATATGACAATGGTGCGCTGAATTTGCTCTGCAAAATCTTCCAGAATTTTCTTGAGGTTATTCTTACGATATCTCAAGCCAAAGTGTTAGACTGGAATAACTGTAGATTTGAAGTAAAACTTACATTGCCTGAGTTTCTTCTGGTGCCCCCTCCTCATTCCATTTCTTCATGGCAAACTTGACCTCCTGCTGTTGTGAAGGTGTCATGTTGTTGAACCACTCCCTGGCATTCCCAGTGCGGTACTTGATTGAATACTCCAAGCCTTTACTCTGTTGTTGGGCCTTGTCATATGAGTCGATCTCCTGCTTAAATAATTTCTGTGCTACGTCCCACTCAGACAGGGGTTTCTTATAGAAAGATGGTTCTCTTTGGCGACTCGCTGCCTCACGTTTGTCTGCCTCTTCCTTGTCTTTGAGACTTTTGGCATAGTATTCTTTTATTGCCTGTAGGTAATATTTATGTATATCATCAGATAACTAAATACATGTACAGTATAAAAATTTTGTGACCTTTTTCAAGGAAGTAGGCAAGGCAATGGGTTCCTCTTGCTCGTCTTGAGCAGCTAGTAAGGCCCTCCGAATCTTCCTCACCACAGGCTTTCCAACAGATGAGGAACCTGCAGCAAAAATGGCCTTAGAGTGAAGGTCGAGAATTGGCTTAAAGGCAATAGACCAGTCGGTAGACATCATAATTGATTCAAGATAAAAATTGCAGGTAGGCTGGTACAGGCGGTAGGAGGGTGGCTAGCCGAAATTAATTTGAACACCCATGTTTATCAACAATAACGTGTGACTTTTCATAAAAGTCACACGTTATTGTTGATAAACATGGGTGTTCAAATTAATTTCGGCTAGCCACCCTCCTACCGCCTGTACCAGCCTACCTGCAATGTTTATCTTGAATCAATTATCAAATTGGATATATTGAGACGGTCAAATTCACATCAAGTAACAAGATTAAAGGCACATTATACTTCCATTGAGTGGAGTTAGACAGTGTAGATAATAGACAAATTCACATCAGGTAAAAAGATCCAAAACACGTTATACTTCCATTGAGCGGTGAGGGTATCTAATCAAGTAAGATGAAGAAAAATGAAACATGAAGGGATGTACGAAAAAGCTAAGACAAAATAATTGTATCCTAATCCTCATCCTCATCAGGGACACTAGGCATGGGCCTCAAGACAACCGAAATCCAGCAGGAGCCAGGTCTTTTGCCTGGCAAAAGGATCCTGGAATGAGGTGGTTGTGAGAATACATACTTTTTCCTACATTGGCCATTCTTGCATTCAAAGATGTAATCTTTGTGCATGTTGACAGAACACCAGGCGTTACTCCACCCACACTGTGGGCACTGGACCGGCAGGTACTGACCCCAGGGCGAAGTTCAAATGCGTCCAGGCGAACTTGGTAACGGCCAATGAACCTGAGTTGTCAGGCATCAGCAAGAACACGTCAGTGTGGCGCCCAAGTTTGTAGGACTGGCCCAACATGTCAGGGAAGACGATGTGAATGGGCAA